GGGATGGGTTTTTTCATCATTGCATGTCTCTGATTTCTTTGGAGGCAATGATTATCACCCCAACCCTCCCTCATCTGCTTTGTTTTCAATGTAGTTATAAATTCACGACCCAAACTGCCGGTTTTTTTTAAATCGGTTTTCAATATGCTTATTCCCATCATTTATTCCATCAGTTTCATCTTGAAGACATCTCTCCTGGGGCCTTTTTTTTTTTTATATTTTATTTATTATTTGTTTATTTATTTATTTATTTATTTTAGAGCGTGTGAGAGCGCATGCCCCCAGGCTCACGCATGCAAGATGGGGGAGGGGCGGAGGGAGAGGGATTGAATCTCCTGCAGACTCCTTGCTAAGCACGGAGCCTGACTTGGGGCTTGACTCATGACCCTGAGATCATGACCTGAACTGAAATCAAGAGTCGGTCACTTCACCCACTGACCCGACAGAGCCACCCTCTCCTGGGGCCTTCTCATCTGCCCCAGCCTGCTACGGTTATCAGTTGGCCTGTGATATAGTCTAGGATGTTCCTTTACCATCATCCTGGGATATACCTTTCCTGATTCTTATGTTTTCCCCTGTCTTAGTTTATACTTTAGCTGTTTTGTTGTTGTTGTTGTTGTTTTTTTAAGTAAATTCTACCCCCAAAGTGGGGCTCGACTTAGAACCTCGAGATTGAGTCACACTCTATGGACTGAGCCAGCCCAGGGCCCTCATACTTTAGTTTTGGTGGAGTTCATCCTCTAGTAGCTTCCTGAGATAAAGTGCATAAAGTTAATATTTTGAGACTTTACCTGTCTTAAGATGTACAAGGTTTTTATTTTACCCTTAATTGACTTAGTAATTCATGGAATTCAGTTTCCTTTAGCATTGTTGATGCTGTTGCCATTATCTTCATTATCTGCCTTCTGTGGATGGTTTCTATGAAATGTGAAGACACTGTGCTTCTGAATCCTGTCTATGGGGCTTATTTTTACCCCTCTGGAGATCTATGTGATATTCTCTTTACCAGTATTCCAATATTTCATGATTCAGGAATGTGTCTTGGTGTGGATCTGTTTTCACCCATTGTATTGATATTCCAAGGAGTGCCAATCTGGAAACTGTTCCATCTTTGTGATACATTTCTTCCCCTTCCAATTTCCCCATCAGTTGGTTTGCCTATTTGCCTAACTCCCTGAGAGTTTTCCTCAACTTTCTTTTCCAACACTGCCATTGAGTTTTGCAGTTTTTCCTATCATGTCATTAATTTTTAATAGCTTTTTTCTATTTGCTAAATGTTCTGTTTCAGATTAGTTGGAGTCCCTGCTGTGAGGCAAACCTCCCCAAATGTAGTAACATGAGCATTTCCATTTTATTTTTTGCTCACACATTCTGTGGGTCAGGAATTCAGAGAAGACTTGAGTGACTATCGGCTGGAGTCATCTGGTGGCTTCTTCAATTACATGTCTGGCACCTGGGCTGGGTTGAATGAAGGCTGGGTTCATCAGGACTGTTGACTTGGGTATCTTGGACTCTCTGTCTGGCTTATTATATCATGGAAGCTGGTTCCAAAAGGAAGCCTCTGGAGAACAAATTTTCTAAGACAACCAGTTGGAAGCTCCTTAGTTTTCCATGACCCAGTCTTGGTGGCCACATCGCGTCACTTCTGCTGATCTCTACTGGTCAGTGTAGTCATAAGGTTGTCCAAATTCAAGGGGAAAGAAATTTTGACTATTTTTTGATTGGTGAATGACAAGGTCACATTGCAAAAGAGCATATGGGATGAGAGTATTGTTTTGCCTATTTTGGGGGCCATATAATCTTACTGATTGATTGAATACAATATTTTTTCTTCTCTCTGAGGTTATTATAATTAGTTTCTTCTCTCTGTACACAATCTGTTTCTTTGAACATTTGGGGAAATTTCTAATTTAAGCAATGTATTTAAGTGTTGGCTTGGTTGATTCTCTAGTAAATAAACTCCTGCATTGGCTTGGCTGTCGAAGTTCTGGGAGCTGATAGCTGCAAATAGGGAAGGAGACCTCAATACCTATTGTTTCTGGGTTCACCCGGTTCCACTGTTTCCTGAGTGGAAACCCTGCTTTCCATTGTGCCTGGTGTGCCCCAGCCTTCAGAGACTAAGTCTTGGGTCATGGCCAGTTTTCAGGGTAGAGACCCAACTGCTTTTAAAAAGCTGCCGGTCAATACTGTTTTGTTTTTGTTTCAGACACTCTCATCCCCGCTCTGGAATCTGTGCTATCTTTTGAAGATCCTGTAGCAAAAATAGAGCTGGTTCTTTCTTTCCCTGCTGTCAGTCTGGGATTCTTGGGTCTGCTTAATCAGTTACCTTTCGTCTGTCTGCTTTTCAAATATTACTTGCTGCTGCTTCTCTCACTCTACCGGAGGACATTTTGTCTGTCCTCCCACTCCAGTGAGTACTCAGCTGCGCCTTAGTCCTGACCAGTTGGAATTGCTCATTTTATGTTGGAACACTTCTTGAGACTATTGTTACCTCATGTGTGTTCCATGGTTTTCTTCTTGTCCCCTTCCTTGAGCACCTCTCCTTAGTACGAGAATTAGAAAAGATCAGAGTTTACTTTCAGTTTTTATAGAACTTAGTATTCTTGTGCTTCTCAGTTTTAATTTCAAAAAGCCACCTATTAAGAATGGCCTTTAAGTCTTGGCTTTCCCTGTTTTCTTCACATGGTAGAATTATTTTCTTCTTCCGTTTCTTCTTAAGTTGTGTTTTTCTACTGAAAAATATTCATGGTGGTGTCCACATGAAAGTCTTCTCTTTCAGGAAAGGCATCAGTGTTCAAGGGAGGGACTCTCTAGGATACTTGCTAAGACAGTTGCCAAGTCCTGTGGTACAGTCTAGGCAGGGAAGGCTTGGCAGTGTGTTTGGGTCACATAGCAAAATGGCAGATTCTGTGTAAATGGACTAAGACTTCCAGTCACAAGGCAAGGATTGGCAGAATCGATTTTTAAAAAGTGATCCAACTGTAGGATATCTACAAGAGAAATGGTTTAGATTTAGAGACACAATTAGATTGCAATAAAAGAATGCAAATAGATATGCCATGCAAAGAAATACCCCAAAAGAGCTAAAGTAACTATACTAAGAGCTGACAAAATAGACTTTAAGGCAAAAATTATTAGAGACAAAGAAAGACATTTCATAAGGAATGGCAAAAAGGAATCAGAAGACTTGAACTCTGCTATAAGCCAAGTAGGCTAATGGAACATCTGTAGAACACTCCACACAACATCAACAAAATACACATTCTTCTCAAGAACACATAGAACATTCTCCACGATAGGCCATATCTTAGACCATTAAACAAACCTAGGAGTGTGATTGCCATGTTGAGAGGTTAGCCTCTGTTTAGCTTTGTAAGAAACTGCCACACTGCCAAAGCGATTGTACCATTTCGCGTACTTGGAGCTCATTGCTCCTCTTGGATGTGCAGATTAATTCTTTAAAATCGTATTTGGGGAAGTTTACAGCAGTATTCAGATATTTTTTTCTACCTCCCATGCTCATGTATACAGCCCTCTCCCCCACTACCTTTCCTTCTGCAAATCCTATTATACATCTGTTGATAATACTTAATGGTATCTAACATGTCTCTGGGGCTGTGTTCATTTTTCTTAATTTTCTTTTTGTTCCTTAAACTGGATACTCTCACTTGACCTGTCCTCAGTTCCACTGATTCTTTCTTCTGTCAGTTTAAACCTACTGTTGAGCCCCTCTAGACAATTTTTCAGTTCACTTTATTGTACTTTCAATTCCAGATTTCGGTTGGGTTTTCTTCTTTATCATTTTCTATCTCTTTATTGAAATTCTCAGTGTGGTTAAATATGATTCTTATACTTTCAGTTCTTTAGTTCTTTGAAAATATTTATAATAGCTGACTTAAAGTCTTGGTTAAGTCCGATGCCTGGGCTTCCTCAGGGACAGTTTTTATTGACTGCTTTTTTCCTGTATATGGGCCAGACTTTCATGTTACTTGACATACTCTATAATTTTTTGTTGTTAAAGGGACATTTTAGGTGCGCATGGGTGGTTCAGTCAGTTAGGCATCTGGCTCTTGATTTGAGCTCAGGGCCATGAGATCGAGCCCTGCAGTGGGCTCCATACCAAGTGTGGAGCCTACTTGAGAATCTCTCTCTCCCTCTCTCTTTGCCCCTCCCCTACACCCCCACCTCCCGCTCTCTTGCACATGCTCTCTCTCAAAAAAAAAAGAAAGAAAGAAAAGGGAGATTTTATAATGTGTCAACTCTGGTAGTCAGACCTCTGCTCATACCCTGCCCGGGGTTTGGTGGTGTTGCTCTTTGTTTAGTGATTTTTCTAAGTTAATTTTCAAAAGTTTATTTTCTTTGTAGTGTGAGGCCACTTAAGTCCCTGTTCAGTTAGCTTGGAGATCAGATCACTTAATGATTGGACAGAGATTTCTTCAAATGTCTGAACCAGTAAGGAGTAGGAGCTGCCTAGTGGCATCATTTTGTTTATGATGATCTGATGTTTTAATGGTTGCCATGCTTAAGTATTTTTGCAGAATCTCGCCACGTTTCTTGCTAATAGAGGTTTGGGGTTGGGTGGTGGACAAGACAGTTGGAAGAAGATGAGATAGGCAGCTAACTCAACTGCAAGCTTGTTTTCATGGGCCTGTGTGCACCAGGAATCTTCATAGTGGGGACAGAATATATTGGATTGCCCAGTAGTACTAGACCATTACACCGTTCCTTGGCACCCACTCTGGGACATGTTGCTAGAGTTTTCTTTGGAAAAGCTTGACCCAAATTGTAAATATTTTCAAACCTTTAACAATACACAAGAGCAGTAGAAAAACAAGTTAAGATTGGAGAGAAGGAAATTTTAAAAGCAAGAAATGAACCAACCATAATTTTGAGGAAAAAAAAGTGAATACCTAGGATTAGTTCACCAGCATGCTTTCTGAGTGTGGGTGTACTTAATGGGCATTACATTCCCTTCACACATTTCCCTTTTCATTTCACAGGTTTTTTTTAAAAGCCTCATGGGACAGCACTGTTGCTGAATGCCTGGTACATATAAGAAACTTGACTGCATGAAAGGCACTCTCCAAACACAGTATGTTACCTGAAATCCGAGAACTAAATGAGCCAGACTTTCTTTAAGTCTAAATGGTTTAAAAAAAAAAAAAATCTAAGTACTTTTCATAACATTATTCTATACTAATAATGTCCAATTATTTATTTGTATTTGCATTATTAATATTCACAATTTATTTCCTAACGAAATATTTAAAAGTTCTAGTGCTAATCCTGGTATTAAAAACCAGTTTCAAATCTCTATAAATCTGGTATGGAGATGATCCGTGGCATTTGGCTTTCTCTGTTAGAACAGTAACACTTAGGGGTGCCTGGCTAACTCAGTAGAGCATAGGACTCTTGATCTCAGGGTGGTAAGTTCGAGCCCCAAGTTGGGTATAGAGATTAAAATAAAGTCTTAAAAAAAAAAAAGAAGAAGAGTAGCACTTGTTAGTTATAGAACCAATTGCCAACTTACAAAGCTGATTTTTGACAACAAAATATATTTTGTAATATTTGTAAACATAATAAAAATGGGTCAGATTCCTCATTTGAATGTAGACAACAGGTGTGTCATACATTATAATTTGTATACAACTGTTGTTTCTCACAAGCATTAATTATTATAACCTGTAAAAGCAATGTAGGAAATGCAAGGCTTTGTCTCTATTTTGGACTGTGTATGTCTTCTCTTCCTGGGGTACCTGGTATGGAACTGAACTAAGAGAGATTCAAAACAGACCCAAATCTGGCCTGGTTTCAGCTGGGTCTTCCTGATTTAGTTTGAAAACTCACTCGACTTGCTTTGCCTTCAGAGATTCTTAGAAGTCATAGCTATTTTTAAATTTCTCCCTAAGAGCACCTCCAGTCCTAAGTTGGTGAAGTGCAGAGTGAAGCTGCTCGCTTCAAATATTTGGGGCTGCTGATGCCAACTGATGGACATTAATGGATGCATCAGGAGGAACCCAGATTAGTAATGATTTCAAGGCAAAGGGTGCTCCTTAGAACTGGCACAGGAGGAAAAACTTATCTCACCAACTGTGGAGAGTTAAATAATTGTAGCCTAGGTCTTCAACTGCGATTTGTACCTCAATTTTCCTGAGAGGTAACTTCCTAAGAGGTATAATGTAGGATATTTTAGCACATCCTTGTATTCTTTTTTTCTTTTTTTTTAGATATTATTTTTAAGCAATCTCCATACTCAACGTAGGGCTCAAACTCACAACCCCAAGATCAGGGGTCATATGCTCCACCGACTGAACGAGCCAGGAGCCCCCCCCCCCTTGTATTCTTTTTTTTAAGAATCTGGTATTAATATTACAGACTGTGGGTTTCCTCTAACACTACCCTTTTCTGCTGATCAATTTTGTTCTGTTTTGAACATCTGACCTCATAACAAAGAGGGTGGTTTTTAAACCTGAGGCGTCGTAAAAAGACTGTATTTATATACATTCCTTCTATTTTTCTTTTAGTGTTGTTCTCCATTTCAAGATGCCTTTGCAGTTTCGATAAATGCGAACTGACAACTCTCAGGGCCACGACAGTAGAGAAATCATGACTGCTTGAAGCCTGGAAGACTGCCCTTAATTAAGGAAAATCCCTGATTGTTGTTTGAAATGCTGAGAAAGTTGCTGCGAAGGAGACTTTTCTCTTATCCTACTAAATACTTCTTCCTGCTTCTTGTTTTTTCCCTAGTCACCTTCTCTGTTTTAAGAATTCATCAAAAGCCCGAATTTATAAGTGTTGGACATTTGGAGCTGGTTGGAGAGAATCCTAGTAGTAACATTAATTGTACCAAAGTTTTACAGGGGGATGTAGATGAAATCCAAAAGGTACAGCTTGAAATTCTAACGGTGAAATTTAGGCAGCGCCCTCGGTGGACAACCAATGACTATATAAACATGACCAGAGATTGTAATTCTTTCATCAAGAGGCGTAGATATATCATGCAACCCCTTAGTAAAGAAGAGGAAGAATTTCCCATAGCATATTCTATAGTGGTTCATCACAAAATCGAAATGCTTGACAGGCTCCTGAGAGCCATCTATATGCCTCAGAATTTCTACTGCATCCACGTGGACAGAAAGTCAGAGGATTCCTTTTTGGCCGCGGTGATTGGCATCGCATCCTGCTTCAGTAATGTCTTTGTGGCCAGTCAGCTGGAGAGTGTGGTGTATGCCTCGTGGAGTCGGGTTCAGGCTGACCTCAACTGCATGCAAGACCTCTACAGGATGAGTACAGACTGGAAGTACTTGATAAATCTTTGCGGTATGGATTTTCCCATTAAAACCAACTTGGAAATTGTCCGGAAGCTCAAGTCGCTAATGGGTGAAAACAACCTAGAAACTGAGAGAATGCCATCCAATAAAAAAGAAAGGTGGAAAAAGCATTATACAGTTGTTAATGGGAAGCTGACGAACACAGGGACTGACAAAATGCACCCTCCTCTCGAAACACCTCTGTTTTCAGGCAGTGCCTATTTTGTGGTCAGTAGGATGTATGTGGGGTATGTGCTAGAGAATGAAAAAATCCAAAAGTTTATGGAGTGGGCTAAAGATACATACAGCCCTGATGAGTATCTCTGGGCCACTATTCAGAGGATCCCTGATGTCCCGGGCTCATTGTCCTTAAGCCAGAAGTATGACATGTCTGACATGCATGCAATTGCAAGGTTTGTCAAATGGCAGTACTTCGAGGGGGATGTTTCCAAGGGTGCCCCCTACCCACCCTGCAGTGGGGTCCATGTGCGTTCTGTGTGCGTGTTTGGAGCAGGGGACTTGAACTGGATGCTACGCAAGCACCACTTGTTTGCCAACAAGTTTGACACGGACATTGACCTCTTTGCCATCCAGTGTTTGGATGAGCATCTGAGGCATAAAGCCCTGGAGACATTAAAACATTGACGGTTCATTTTAGGCAACTAGAAATGAGAAGACGTGTGCATGAGATGCACCCTACCTGATCCTTCTGCCTGGTGATAAACAGAGAAACTATAGGGGGCGCTTTTTGAAACTATAGGGACCTTGAAGCTGTGTGATTTCTGCCCTGCACCATGGGTTAGAAAGGTTATAGCATTAAATGTTGACCTAGCGTTAACATGGGGTCAGGGTAGGTTGGGAGGCACTGTGGGGGGCAGTGGCCCACGTAGCTGGGGATGTGGGTGAATGCAAAAACCAGCCTGTTAAAAGAACTCAGGGACTTAACAAAATGACCAAGATTTCATCTGTGCCAAAATTACTTTGAGAGCTTTAATTATGACAATTTTCTTGATTTGAATAAATTTATAGCAACAACCAATTGTAAGGATATAATTTATCTTGCAGGTTTTATGTGGTGAAATAGAAATTTGACTTTAAATGGTCCTTGTAAATAATTTGCTTTCTGCTGTAACATTGTGCTGTGTAGCATGTCGGTATGTGTCATCTCAGGGAACTTGAAAAAATGGGCTTGACTGAACGTGAATATTTCTGACTAATTTTTGCTTCTAATAATGTGTATATGTTTTTAAAAACAAAAGTGGCAATGTGTCTCGCTTCGTCGATTCTATGAATCAGCTTATTAGAAAAGATACCTTAAGTTATTTGAAAAGTTAAGAGATCTTTATTATTATAGCGTCCACAGAGAAACTCAATTTTCCAAATACTTGTCTCGACTCATCCCTGCCCCTGTCTCCTCAGGCCGTGCTATCAAGCTATAGAAAAACTTGTTTTCATAGTGCCTCAGTTCTCTTCATGTGATCCAACAGTGTGTATGGGGATTTGGGATCTAAGACAGAAAGAGTGGAGTAGGTATGGGGAGTAGAAGAGGTGGCCATATTTGGGCAGTTTCCGAGGCCTATGATGAATGTTCTAGCAGTCATTCATCTTACTATAGCAGATAGTAAGGCTATTGCTCTTGGGATCCACTTAGGTCCAGCTTCCCAGGGACTTGCATCTTTATGTCACCTGTGTCTCCACTTCAAAGGACTGGCTGGCTTCTGCTGTCCTTGCTTCTTCATGTTACCTGCCCCTTAGTTATTCCTTAGCCCTTGGATTGTAAATTTCCTTCTTCCTCAGAACCCATAAGCTGTTCTTCCACATGCGTACTTGAAGGCTTGGTAATCCTGAGGGAATGGCAGGTTGTTTCAGTGTTGATATTCACAGCCTATGATGTCTGCTCTACTTTTCCACCAAAAGACAAATGATTCAAGGTAACCATTGTGCTATCTCATATGTCAAAGTAAATGAAGATTAGAAAGAAAACGTTCTTTTGCTAAGCTGATACTGTTCAGCCAGAGATCTAACAGGAAATGGGACGCCTTATCATTAAGCTGAGGCTCTAAACAATCAAAACTATGTACTTTATTATAAAGCATAGCAAATTGAAGTGATACAGAAGAAATTCATAAGACAAGCAGTTTTCAGGCATTCAAGTGAGAAAATATTTTTTATTCCTTAAAGTTAGAGAACATTTTCATTTTATGGAGAGAGCTTTGTTCTACCGACCCTCCTGAATGAAATTTTCACATTTTTAAAAGCTTTGTCATCATGTGTAAATGTGCAAGTCAGTAGATTGCTGTTTTGCATAATTAGACAAGACAGCCAATGTTGGACCAAGAAAACATACTCTGAAAACTCAAAGATGATGTCCATGAGGGCATAAGATGACAGTGCTGTCTCTCTTGCCTTCTAAATTGGTTTGTTCTTTTAATGCATGTCAAATGTTTCTCCCATGCTCTTAGCAGAAGGATTTACCTATAGATGGGTCCTTTTTTTCCTCTAAAATTAGTGGTATTCATTGACAAATACTTTGTCTTATATTTTTACTTCGTCTTATATTTTTACTTCATTCATGGTGTCTTGTTTTATGTGCATTTTCATTTCTTATTTTGAAAATAATACAAATTTACAGGGAAGTTAAAAATAATAGTACAGTGAACACCATATAACCCTCACCTGGAATCGCTGGTTGTTAACATCGTGTCCCACTTGCTTTAAATTGTATGGATTTTGGAATTTAGCAAAAATTGAAGGTTAAATCTATCTTTTTAATTTACAAATAGCCAAGGTTATTTACCTCAACACTACTTTGTAGTGTGACTGCAAGTGATTTACATTTCAAACTGACAGGTTTTGAGAGATTTTTCTCCACCGTAGATATAAAAATAAGACTTTAGAGTGTCATCTGCCCAAGTCCCACACTAAAACTATGGACCTACTGTCTTCTATATAGCTGTGGTACCTCTATATTCTAGAATGGCGCTTGGTGAGATATGTCTATACATTACCCTATTGCTAATGCCTGTTATAGGAATTATATAAAATTTGTTTATTGTGACTTCCTTTTATACATTTTAGCATAACTTAAGGCAAATACAATTCATACTATGGGACATGGGTGGCTGGCTGGCTCTTGATCTCAGGGCTCTAAGTTTGAGCCCCATGTGGGGTGTGGAGATTACTTAACAATGAAATCTTAAAAAATAAAATTCATACAACTGGGACAAGCAATTTGAAAAATCAAAAAGATGGTTTCAAAAGAAAGCAAAAATGCAAGTTGAGAAAGATATAAATTGTTCCCTATATGTCAGTTATTAAACACTGCTTTTACCATCACTTAGGGTCTTATGTAGGGAATTATTAGGAATCATTCACAAAACATAAACTGCAATTTTGAGATGGAAGGTTTATTCTGGTTAATGAAGTAATGCATCAATAATAAGTAATGTTTTACTTATTAAGTGCAACACTTAAAAAAAAAAGTTATTTTTTTAGGCGGTTACCTAGGCTCTTCCACACCACAGTAAACAACTGTTAAACTTTGCAAATGTGAATTGTTAGGCAGGAAAAAGTTTTACTCTACCCGTTAAGGTTCTTCTAGCTGGTCTAAGAATCAAATTGACATGAGACTGAGTAAGGAGAAATTAACAAGAGAAAATCAAACAGGGATGCCTGGCTGGCTCAGTCAGTAGAGCATGTGACTCTTGATCTTGGGGTCATGAGTTCGAGCCCCACATTGGATAAGGAGCCTACTTAAAAAAAAGAAAAAAATCAAACTAATAAATAACATGTATACCTTCTGTGTACATGGGAGAAACCCAGGAAAGCAGTAATTCCCTGGCTGAAGCCATTACCTTAAAACATCATCTCCAGTTAAAGACAAAAGGTGTTGGGGTGGGGAGTCTGTTATGGGAGGTTACCAGAAAAAGCACAATAAACCAGGGTAAGGTTACTCTACAGATTTAAGTCCATGTCTTTTCCATTGATAACAGTTTCTAGAGATTTAGAGTCTTCTCCCTCTTTTTGGTACTGAAGGAGACACCCTTATATATGGAGATTTCTCTTGTATATGTAAATGTCTCTTAAAAGGGTAAATTCTCTTCAGTTTTCAGAGTTTTTCTTGAGTCTGCCGTCTCTTAAAAATAATCAGCTTAGGGGTGCCTGGGTGGCTCAGTCAGGTAAGCGGCTGACTCTTGATTTCGGCTCAGGTCATGCTCTCGGTCGTGAGATCGAGGCCACATCGGGCTGGGTCTCTGCACTAGGCAGGGAGTCGGCTTGAGATTCTTGTCTCTCCCTCTGCCCCACCACTCACTCGTGCTCCCTCCCAGCATCCCAAAATAAATAAATAAATCTTGAGGGAAAAAAAATACCCAGCTTGAAATAATATGCCAAAGAGGCAAATTTGGGGGCAGCAAAATTTACTCCTTCTCCAGAAGCATTATTGTCTCCAAACATGGATTTGTGTCATTCATCAAATACAATTCACTCAAATAACATAAGTAGATGTTCTCTTGCAGTTATTTAGGGGAGGAGGAAGCCATGTTCCATGTTTTAATTTATTTCATCCGTAGGGTCAATTAAACTGGATTTTTGTAGTTTGCTTAGAAAAATAACTTATTTCTCATTATGTCACATATAAAACAAATGCAACACTGTTTCCTGGCAAATGTGGCTACCATAGGTTTTACTCTTTTGATTGTGGGCAGGACTGAATGCATTTGTAACTAGTCATATCACCATTAAAATCAGCCATTCGGACATCAATGCCTTGTCTCCATAAATTATTCTTTTTTCCTTAGCTACCAGCACTTAAATTTAGTAGCTGGTGTGGTACTTTGTAACCAAGAAGTGTTGTTGATTAAAAACATTAATTCTCCAGGCAGAGATGTCTTGAGAGGAAGAGGGTGTGGCAGTGGTAGAAAATTTAACACAGATTATGCAAAAAGATTCAGACCAGGCCTTTAGAAGAATGCAGTATCTGTTGATGGGGGAAGGGCACTTTCCCAGTCAGTTCCATCTCAATGGCCACAAATACTAACAAGATCTGTTACTTGCTGTGGTCTGTGGAGGGTGCAGTGGAGGGAAAAGAACCATCCCCATCTGACCCCCCCCCCGAAAATATTAAGTACCAGCTCCAAATGTCCTCTCACCTGATCTGTTAAATCCTTCTGGTGCTCTTTGGCTTCAATTTAGATGAAACACACTCCAGAAAGTGACAAAGTTGATTAACCTTGGATCTTTCTCTAACACTTGAGACTTTTAATATATATCCTTCATAAGCTTACTTGTCAAAGATTTAATTTTTAATATGTGCTTTCTTAAAGTTTTCAGGGCTTGTCATGGGAATATTGATTTAATATTTTTTGATGCAATAAGACTGAAACTAGAAATGACTTATAGCTGTTGGGAAAGAAAAGACTTTTCATTACTGCAGATTGTATGTTTGTCCAAATAGAAAACCCAAAAAATCTTGTCTTAGGATTTTTAATTAACCAATAGATCCAGATAGTCAAAGTTAATAGGGTTTCCATATTCAAGCAAAAAATAAGTTTTACAATATAATGGGATTATGTGAGCATTTATCATGGCAACAAGCTCAGAAAATGTTCAAAGGTAAGATGTGTGTGGGACTGTGGAGGAAAACTACATTGTGCTCTGAGACAATTATTTTAAACATGGCCCTTCCCAAATCAGTCTATATGTTAAATGGAAGTCCAACCATATTCTCAAACATTAGTAAAATTGTTCTAAATTTCATCTGAAAGAAAAAATGTGCAAGAATAGCTAGGAGGGGCGCCTGGGTAGCAGAGCTGGTAAAGTGTCTAATTCTTGGTTTCGGCTCAGGTCATGATCTCAGGGATGGGATTGAGCCCCGTGACAGTCTCCCTGCTCAGCACAGAGTCTGCTTCAGATTCTCCCTCTCCCTCTGCCCCTCCCACTCATTGTCTGTCTGTCTCTTTCTCTCAAATAAATCTTGAAAAATAAAAGAATAGCTAGGAATACTTTGAGAAAGGAAAGTAATGAAGCCTTGGATTTGTTTGGGTTTTTTTCAA